GCCGCGGAAGAGAGGCCCAGCCACATCACTGGACCCCCCCCCCTTACATCTAGCCCAGGGGAGAACCTGGACAACCCCCCCACACACACACACACACCAGCTTCCACCTGCCCAGCCCTTTCCCCACCCTTGCTCCACCACTGCCCCATCACTCCCCCCCCCCACCTCCTTCCCCGAGTGACATGGCCCGGGGGTCTAGTGAGCTGGTGTTATAGCACTGGGAGTAGTGGTCCCACCCCCTCTAACCCTTGAGTTTGGGGGCCATATGCCCCCTTCCCCTCCTGGCTTAATCCATTGGCAGTTCCAGGCATCTCAAAAGAGAACATGCAGCAGACAGGGCTATTGACCCTGCTTCCTGCACTGGCCCAAAGATTAAGACCCACTCCCTCCTCTTCCTACAAGGAAAAAGACTGAGCTTTATAAATGAGTGTAATATAACAGCAGATGTGCTGCCTTTTTTCCATTAGAGAATTCTGAGAAACAGAATACCAGTGCTCCCACAAGAGTCACAGCTCCATGAAATTTGTAATCTGTATTATATCTAACAGGCACAGCCTAGCCTGAATTTATAAATATAGTTGTCATTAAACATATAATGTAAAACTATATATTTATATATAAATAATAGAGATGTTAAATATCAGTTAATTGAATAGTTGAGTAACCTCATGAATTCTTATTGATTAGTCAACTATTCCATAGTCCCTAGGGCAGGGCCGGCAGCCAGTGTGCTCTGGCCTCACTCCCTAGGAGCCCCCTGCCACTCTGTGCTACTGCCTCTACATCAGAGGCAGCAGCGTGGGGTACCAGGCAGGAGTTGATCCGCCAAGGGAGCCAGTTTAAAAAACAGCTCCCCTCGCAGACCAGCTGCCTGTCGCCCTGTGCTGCTGCCTCTGACCCTGTCTGGGAGGTGGGGTCTGAGCTCTTGGACCCAGCATGAGCCAGAACGTAGCCAGGCTGCCTGCCCGCCCAATTCCTAATACACCTTAAATGCAGAGCCACAGTAGGGTTAGGTACCAGACCTGTCGTGAGCCAGAACTGAATCAGGCTGCTGGACAGTCTGCTAAAAAATTTACTGGTAGGGGGTGGGAAATGTGTGTAGTCTATAGCAGTAATCTATAAGCATTTGCTAACTGATTGATTGACTACACTAGTAATCACTAGGGTTGCCAGGTGTTCCATCTTGACCCAGACCGTCCAGTATTTTCACCTCCTGTCCGGTAAAAAAAAATTAGAAAATACCGGACACCTAAAATGTCCGGTATTTTCTGATTTCACCCTTCCCCACCCCCCCGACAGGAGGCGAAAATACTGGACACTTGGCAAACCTACACACACTCAGCAACCAGGCCCAGCCCCCGGGCCCCCCACTTTCCACAGGGAAGCTGTCTTCTGGCTCGGATCAGGAAAACAAGTTGGCTGCCGGCAACAAGCCTCAAAGGCTTTTTTTAAAGGGGCCATGATGGGGATGGTGGGGGGGGAGGGGGTCTTTTTTTTTTTTTTGCTTCAACAACTTTGGTCTCACCCTTTTTTTTTCCTCAATAGAATTTTCCCCCTGTGTTTTTTTTGGGAGGAGGAGGTAGTTCGGTATTTTTAGTTAAACCATCTTGTAACCCTATACATCTCTAATAAATAATAGTAAAGGTAGCAGAGTTCTCACCACATCTTTCAAGATGAAAAGGATTCATTTGGTTGCTTCTGGTCTTACACAATTATATACTTGTAGCTGAAATGTTGCAGTCCTTACTCAGGTCTTACTCAGTCTATGGGAGTCTTGACTTAGCAAGGACTGTAAAAGTTATACCTTTGTAACAAAGGAAAATAAACAGTTTAGTATGATTTTGTTTTTATAAACTTTCTTTTTATGACCTGAGTGTTTTTTGTTGTTGTCTTTATTTTTCAACAGTCTTCTTGCCTAAACAATCAGCTGGTATATGTGGACTGCAAGAAAGGTACCATGGTTCAGGTGGATAGTTCTCAGAGGATGCTAAGAATTGCCGACCCAGATTCAAGATACAGTGGATTCTACAGCATGCAAAAACAGAACAACCTACAGGCAGATAATTTCTATCAAACAGTTTGAAGAATTGCACCTTTGCAAAGGATTTGCGAGAGAGAGAAAGGAGAGAGAGAGAAAGAGAGACTGTCTGCTATTAAAATAAAACTAGAATTGTGCACTTGCTTAGTGGATTGTATTGGATTTGTGACTTCATGTACAGCTCTAAGACCTTACTGGGATGGGCTCTGACTCCTGCAAAGTGCCAGAAAAAGCATTCCCACTTTTCCTTGCGATAACTGACCAAGAGTTTTCTCAGAACCAAAGTTTTAAAACTTGTTAAGATGTATTTGCTTGTAACATAGCTATAGAGATTGTGTGGGAGGGGGAATTTGGGGCTGGGGAGTGAAATGAGAGAAAGCTTCAAAGAAGAAAAGCTGGTCACGCTTGGCTTGGGGAGAAAACAAATAAGGAAATTTGCCAAGCATCAGGATGGTGGCTTTTCTTGTTGCTCTGAAACTGCATTTGTTGCAGCAAAGCCTAACCCCACATGGAAACAGAAAATAGAGGTCTGATTTTTTTCCCAGCTGTTGCTACAAAAGTATACTCCTAGAACAGAACCTGTCATGTTACAGGTGTGGTGTAGCATATATTTTTCTATATGATGATGACAAGCTGCAGTAGTTAATGAGATAGCAAGGAAAAGGTTATAGCAGAATATAAAGGGTGGGTTTATTAAGGATGTATAAAATTATACCTTGTGCTGCTTTTTGTTTTAATTTTGTTTTCTGCAAAGCTGATTGGCCAGAGTTTGGCAGAGTTAGCAAATGACTGAGGCCTAAATAATTCCTGATCTGAGCACTGGATCTTTTGACAGCAGTATTGAAGGCAGGAAGGAAGGAAGGCAGGAAGGAAGGAAGGAAAAGTCACTACCGCCATGCAGTTCCAGGGGCTTTTGTTGTGTTTTTGTTTTGTTATTTTGTATTAATCTCTGGTTGTTCATACAGTTTCAGTGGAGGGGGAGGAAAAAATATTTTTGTTGGACAAAGCTCTTGCTTTTAAATGAAAGAGTAAAAAAAGAGACTGTTTTAAGGTTTTTTTCCTGATTTTTATTTACTGGTTATGCAGATTAGAAACTACTTCCATGCTAGGAAGCTACTAATTTTAATTGTATATTACTCAAGCACCTTTTTTGAAGCTCAGAAAAAAAGGAGATCATGCTTCTTTAAACGTTAGCATTATAGGAATATTTATGTAAATATAATTATGCTAAAAACAACAAAGTATTTGTCTGTGTGTATATATGTGCACATATATATATAGTGTGTGTGTGTGTCTACACACACACACACTATATATGCATATGTATATATACAGTATATATATAGCATCTATCTGTATATATACAGTATATATATAATTTTCTATTTTTTTCTTGTTGAATGTATTTTTATCTGAGAGAGATTTTACCCAGAGCAGAAACAGATAAAACAGGCATTCCATAGCAGTGCTTAATTGCTTGTGAGTTTAGGAAAGACAAGAGGAGCATCTCATTCTACCTACAGTTTTATTTGATTTGAAAGTGTTTTTTGTGTGTGTGTGTGTGTGTGTGCGCGCATGCGTGCACATGTATGCGTGTGTACACTTTTGTGTTTGCGTGTGTACAGTATGTGCACGATTATAGCAGTAAGCGTTGCTCTTGCTACATTTCAGGGTGTTTCTTATTTTTCTTTTCCTGCTTAGCCTTAAAAAGGCTTTTAATGAATGCATTAGCTAGAGACACTGATGGCAATATACATGCAGCACTAATCAACTCGGGTATGTCTCCACTACCCCGCTAGTTCGAACTAGGGGGGTAGTGTAGACATACCCCTCCTTAGAATAACACCATCAGCTCCTGGATTTTTTTTAAATTCAAACAATTGTTTGAATTTAAAAAAAATCCAGGAGCTGATGGTGTTATTCTAAGGAGGGGTATGTCTACACTACCCCGCTAGTGCGAACTAGCGGGCTAATGTAGGCATACCGCACTTGCAAATGAAGCCCGGGAAATTCAAATCCCGGGCTTCATTTGCAGAAGCCGGCTGGCGCCATTTTTAAATGCCGGCTTGTTCGAACCCCGTGCCGCGCAGCTACACGCGGCACGGGGTTCGAACAAGCCGGCATTTAAAAATGGCGCCGGCCAGCTTCTGTAAATGAAGCCCGGGAAATTCAAATCCCGGGCTTCATTTGCAAGTGCGGTATGCCTACATTACCACCCTAGTTCGAACTAGGGTGGTAGTGTAGACATACCCCTCCTTAGAATAACACCATCAGCTCCTGGATTTTTTTTAAATTCAAACAATTGTTTGAAACAACTACTGGAATATTGTCCACTTAAAGCTGGAAGTTTGTAGCTTGCCTCATTTATAACTCTGACTGTATAGTACAAAGTTAACTTTCCAGACAGGTCTTGGCACTTTTATACTAATTACCCATTTGTGCATTGCCTTTTTTCTTTTACAAATGCTTGTCATAAAAGACACAAATACCCAGTATGCTTAATGTGAAAAGAAAATGTATTTTTTTGTAAAGGAACTCTCAAGTATTGTTGTAAATACTTGGTCGGAGGTTGCTGAACTTTAAAACTGAAAAAATAACCTAATTTATTATTATAATGACCTAATTTATTAATCTGAAGATTAACAATTTTTTTTGTTTTAGAATATCATAAAGGTGTTCTAGCTGTTTTCATCAAAGAAAAAAATAGGTGTATCATTCAGGGTTGACATTTTTCTGTTTATATATGACTTCAGTTTCCAAAAACAAGAAAGAAAAAATGTAGTCCTCCCAGCATTTTGTACTCGATATGATATTGAAACAGCTATGTTTCTGTCCAGTTACTACAAAGATTCTGTCAAGACAAATCATCCATTCCTTGCATAAGAGAAAGCAGTCTTTATCCATAAATTGTAAAAGCTTGCTTTTGTTTTACAATCAAGGCCATATTCTGAAAATAGGATATAGGACATGGTGTAAAATGTTTATTTTATTATTATTATTATTATTTTAAAGATATGATTTATCCTATGTGCTGTATCCATTTACACTCTTTTACTTTGGTTCCTGTTGTGCTCTTGTAAGAGAAATGCAGATATAATTTTCTGAAAAATAAAATAGATGCATATGTGGCACTCGGAGTGCACTGCAGTTCAGCAGATTGCTTGTTTACTTTTTTTTAAACTGTAAGGCGGTTTCTTGTAATTTGGCTCTTGGCAGCACAATAAAAATTTTAAACCTAATGATGCACTTTTTTAAAATGTTCATATGTATGACTACCATAAAATGTTTGAGAATAGTTTATAATTTATTTACTCTGCAAATATTATAATTATATCTTATTTACTCTGATTTATTTCTGTGAGATTTTAATTTGCACATTATCTTTCTCCTCTAAAGCAATTTTGAACCAAGACTACTAAAGACCTTTGAGTTGGGGAGGGGGGTTCTCTAACACACCAGGTTTGAACTGAAGAATTTTCACATGGTATTGAGAAAATGTTTGTGGAGTCTTAGCAGTAAAATTGTGGACTATATCAAATTTTACCTCATCTTACAGACTGAAATGTCTCAAATCTTAAACTTTTAATACATATTAACATAAGAACTACCATTCTGGGTCAAACCAATGGTCCAACTAGCCCAGTGGACAGAACCAGAGCTTAGATGGATGTGTTTTAAAAAAAATAATAATAAAAGCTGGGGGGGGGGAAGCTGGGGTGATTCTTCCATCTTCGCCTCCCAGCTTGTATCAATCAGAAGCTTGGGGTTGCATCCCTAACCATCTTGGCTAATAGCTGTTAAAGAACCTGTCCTCGGTGAATTTAATTCTTATTTGAACTGGTCCACATTTGGCTATCACAACATCCTAAGGGAACGAGTTTCATGGGTTATTTGTTCATGGTGTGAAAAAGTACTTCCTCATATATTAAACCTGTTGCCTACTAATTTCATAGATCATCCCCTTGATTTTTGTAGTGTAGGAAAGAGTAAATTACACTTCCTTAATTCATGTTTCCCGTGCCATTTGTGATATTGTAGATCTCTACCATATCCCTCCTTAGTCGTCAGTTTTTTAAGGTGAGCAGCCCTAACCTTTTTAGTCTTTTATGGAAACCATTCCATACCTTTGATTCTCTCTTGCCTTATCTGAACCTTTTCCAGTTCTACCATATTCTTTTAAGATGGAGCAACCAGAACTGAACACAATAGTTACAGTGGGGATAGATCATGACTTTATATAGTGGCATTATATCTATTATATTTTCTACTCCTAGTAGTTCCTAACATCCTGTTAGCTTTTTTGACCACTGCTGCACACTGAGCTGAAGTTTTCAGAGACTGAGTTTCCATGGTGATTCCCAAGATCTTTCCTGAGTAGTAATCGTTAATTCAGAACCCATCATTTTGTGTGGAAATGCTTAACAAATGCATAACAAGGAAATGCTTGTGAAGGTATGCAGCCTTACATGCCCTCTATCCCCAAGATTTCTGCCAGGGTTTGCTGGCCAGACCAGCTCCCTATACAGCAGCTCCTAGTGGTGTCCAGGAGAGGCAGCAGCAGAGAGCTTAGGAACTGCAGAGAGGAGCTATTGAGGATAAAAAGAGGGGATGTGCCTGTGGGAGGGGTGACTCAAGCTGTGCAAGAGGGAACTTTAAATTGTGCTTCCCTCCTCGCCCCCAGCAGATACCAGTCATCTCTGCATGTATAGTGGGGATCACATTTTTCCAGCATGTATTATTTTCCATTTATCAACAGTGACTTTCATCTGTTATTTTGTGAGATCCCCCTGTAATTCTGCATTTAGTTCTTTGGACTTAATATCTTGAGTAAGTTTGTATTATCTGCAGACTTTATCATTTCATTGTTCACTCCATTTTCCAGCTCATCAGCACAGTACAGATCCTTGTTGACTTCTCTCAGTTGTAAAAACTGACCAATTATTCCTACTCTATTTCTTTCAAGTGATTACTGATCTGAACAGATCAAATGAGTTATGGCATGTTATACCATAACTAATTCATTTTCATATATGCTTTTCTTATGTGCTTGTTGACATCCTCAAAGAATTCGAATTGATGGGTGAGACATTACTTTCCTTTACAAAAGCTGTATGTATTGATTCTGTTCCCAAAAAATTGAGTCCGTCTACATGTCTGATGTTCTGTTCTGTACTATACTTTCTCCAGTATTGAAGTTAGGCTTTCCAATCTGTGAGACATCAGTCAGGATACAATATGAACTGTTGAACAACTGTGTCCACTCAATTCTCCAATCTGGGGTACTTTTTACACAACTTTTCTGGGAGAACAGCCCCTCCTGGCATCTAGCATGTAAATTATTCCCAGGTTAGTTCCCAGTAAGAGTGCTCTTAGCAGGCCTCTCCTGAATTATATTGCAGAATGACATCAGCAAATTCCCAGCCTCAGACTTGTCCCCAGAAATATGCATCTTCTGCTGCCCAAATCTTTCCTTTTGGACAATACAAGCCCATAGAAAGTCTGTCATTTTATTAATACAGGCCCTGGCTACTTAACCGACTGCCTGTTTTTGTGGCCCGCAGTGCAGTTTGAGTTTACACCGGGCTCAACACGTGGCCCATCGGTGGTAGCCAAAACAAAAAAAAGAGTCAATATAATGGTCTTCTTTTGATATGTGTTATAGTAGTTAAATTCCTTGACTGTCATTGCTCATTAAAAGTGCTGTCCTATGGATGGAAATCGGGTAAATATTGCATTTTATTAATATCAGCAGAACTGACTTAAATGGGGCCTGCGTGTTGTGTAGACCCTTGCCTTAATGTTTCTATTCATGCTCATCAGTGTGAAACAAGCAATTTGCATATAGATTTGCATGTATATGCAACCACACTCAAGTTGCCCTCGGCATATCCTGCATCATTATGGCCTCAAAAGGACTTCAAAAGTTGAGTAGCTTTGCATTAATAGAAAATTATATAAACAACCTCTGCTATCTCAAATGGAGTTCCCCGAACAATTCAATCCACATAATGGTTTAGAGAAAACAAAAGACCAAGTTTATTAGTTACAAGTAGATTTTCAGTGAATACAAATAGAGGTGTAAAATCCAGAATTGATTACAAAGAATAAAAGGTAAAATGCAAACCAACACCTAACTTAATAATCTAAGTGAATTGTAAAGATCACTCTCACCATGTGTTCTAGCAGTTTCACTGGTTGAATCTTGCAGACAGGATCACTCTCCAGAAAATGATGCTTCCTCTGTCTTTCAAGGATTTTTGGTGCCATAAGTAGAGATGAAAGGAAAGATCGGTATTCTCTAGTCTTGCTTTTTAGTCATTTTCCTCTTTGAAAATCATCTGAGGTTCAGGCCACAGCAAGTCTGTTGCTCGGAAACTGCCAAGATGTGAATTTCTTGTTGTTATCTGCCTTTCTGCCAAAGATTGGTCACATACTCAGATGATAGTCTATTTAATTTTGTAGACACCTAGCAACGGTTTCGGTTTGCCATCTTTCTCTGAGAACCTGGTTTGGGCTGCTTCCCCAGATTTGGAATATGCCTATCATACAGTACAATCTTACAAGTTAATGTTGTCACACAATGTAGCCTGGACAATAAGGACTTGAGTTTTCCAATGACAGCTCATAAGACATACTTTGTACAAAATGTATCAGTTTTGTAAAAAGGGTGAACATGAAGTACAGACTGTCATAGGCTGCCATTTTCAGGACTGACCCCGGAACCTTTTTAAAAAAGTAGCTATCCTCCAATCATCTGTACCGAAGTTGATTTAATATCACAGTTAATAGTTTTACAATTTCTTATGTAAATTCTTGGGTGAATATAATCTGATCCCGGTGATTTATTATTGTCTTATCGATTTGTTCCAAGACCTCCCCCCAAGAAGGATAGCTCTGATACAGAGGTATCTCCCACATCTTCTGCAGTGAAGACCAATAAAAAGAATTAACTTAGCTTCTCTGCAATGACTTTGTCTTTCCTGAGGGCTCCTTGAACATCATGCTCATCTAGTGATCTGTTTGGCAGCCTCCTGCTTCTCCGCTATTTAAAAACAAAAAATTGTAAGTTTTCCAGTCTTTAGCAAGTTGCTCCTCAAATTCTCTCTTGACCTAGTATATTATTACATTTACACATAACTTGCCAGAGTTTGTCCACTTTCATACTATCCTCCTTAGGATTTGACTTCAATTTTTAATGGATGTCTTTTCCTTCTAATCACATCCATTATGCTGCTGTTTTAGCCATGGTTCCATTAATGTGATTTTCTATTTTGATGTGGGTGTACATTTAGGCCTGAGTGTCTATTACAATGTTTTTAGATAGTCCCCATGTTTCTTGCAAATATTTAATTCTTGTTCCTTTTAATTTCCATCTTACATGCATCCTCATTCTTGTGTAGTTTCCCTTTTTTAAAGTTAAATGTTACCATGATGGGGAAGTATCCACAAAGATGTTAAATTAAATTACATTAGAATCATTATTTCTGCACAGCTCAGCTATTGATTGGACCAGCTCATATATTCCACTAAAGACTGAGTCAAGAATTGCCTCTCCCTTTGTTTTTCCAGGAATAGCTGCTCCAAGAAATTGTCATTGCTGGTGTCTAGAATTTTATTTCTGTACCATGCCCTGAGGTAACATTTTCCCAGTCAATATGAGGATAGTTGAACTCATGCTTTCTGCTTTTATACCGATACTGTCACTGTGAGGCTTTTTGTTTGTTCCCTCGTCCCAATTTTAGAGCACTTCAAATAGAGGGATTGTGTCAAACTTGGTATGGTCTTAAACTTTTAGCCATAAACATCTATTACTTTAAATCTCTTGCAATGATCTTTCAAACATGGTTTGTTTGCAGATACCACTGAGGCAAACTTTAAGCCACGTTCAAAATAATACATTCTTAGTTTCTGTAAGGTTATACATAAAAATCTCATTTGCATTACATCATATATTTTAGAATGGTGCATTAAAGGCAGAAGCACAGTAGGAACAGTGTTTGACCATAAAAAATGTATTTCCTGACTTTTGAAGTTGATGTTGCCAAGCACACCTTACTCACTGTGGCTCTTGAATAGCACGGCTTCTCAGTTGTCAGCTCCCCAAGAATCTATGTCAATATCAGTAGCACTACCTCCCTATTTGTAACTGACATGGCTGAGTCTACAATAACTTACTTCTGTAGCCTTCTGGCTTTGAGGGTATAGTAGAGAATCTGTCAAATCCATAAAGACCCTTCACTGTCCCTCAATACACAATGTCAGTCCCTTTCCACTGAACCAGATCTAAAACCATACTTTTTCCTTTGTTCATAGAAGTGGAGGGAAGTACAGAGAGGGCCTTATTTAAGATCTTAGATCAAGGAATTCTTAGCTGTTAAGAAAAATTGCAGAATCAGAGTTTATAAGAAGGGTAAGAAGCTTGAGGGAGTGGTAGGACATATTATTGCTATTTCATCAGTTCCTATCTAGCCACTTCAAAGCTGAGACATGTGCCTGTATCTTCAAATCCAATCAACTCTGGGCAATCTAACAGCAGATGAACAACCAGCAGTGAATGTTTTTCTCTTTCATCAGGCCAGTATAAAATTATTGAAATAATGTAATTTTATTCTGATTTGACACTGCTAATTCTCTGGACCCTGTGCAAAGAGAACTAGAGCACTGCAAGTAGAAGTGAAGGAGCTGCCCCCACAAAGCCTCTGCAAGCCTTTCAATGAAGACCTTATCAATTCCTAGGATCATGAACTGAGAATGGAATGTATTTGTTCACAAAAATGTAGACTGTGTTGGTATTATAAATAAAAATTGCTTAGTTTTGTATGACTAAGTGCTGCCTATTCTTGGCATGTATCCTTAAGTACTTTTGATGGGTGGTGGATGAAACCGGTGCTACCCTGAAGGATACCATTATTTGAAAACTGATGCCGTAGGAGTGTGCAGGCCACACAGTTAACCATTGTTAGGCAATGGTTCTTTCAGCTGAAGTGATAGCAAAGAGGCACCCCACTCTGCCCAATTTATTTGTCATGCATGCAAGCTTCTAGTCCATGGGAGATCCAGGGGGAAAAAGAAAAAAGAGTTAATGCCCAAGGATAGGCTCAAAAAACTGGTGCTTCACTGTGTTTTTACATTGCTATCTCAAGTTAGCTACCTCAATGTAAAATCCTAGAGGAGACAAAGTAAAGGTAATTTATATCTCACTGTAGTTATCATGGTCATCAGCTATATGCCTACCTGAGATTTATCTGGACTAATTACATTGAAGTAAAAACCACAGTACCTTGCTTTCACTATGAATCTACATTGAGATATCCAAGTCAACTTTTTTTTGCATGGGTGCAATGGAATGCAAACTGATTGATACCACTACAGAAAAGCAGCACATCAAGGCAGGAAGACACATCAGAAATGCTGAATGAAGTTGGACTTTGAGTACTATAGCCCTGTGAGCTGCCTGGTTACCACTACCCCAGGCCCAATGGGAAGAGCTGACACTGGAGAGGCAGGGACTATAGTGCCTATTGGTGCCAAGTACAAAGGATCTCAACTGACATTTCTATGAATGTGAAGTGCAATAACTAACTTGTGATTCAGCCTGTCCAACCATTAAATAAATAAATGCTGATACTTCCATTGCAGGATTTAAAAGCATATTCCCTAGCCAATGAAGTAAATCAATACTATCAAGGCTATTTCCCACTGGGACACTTCAAGAGCAGGAGGTGGGGGCCTACAAAAGACTTTAATATACCCTGCCACTAAAGGCTTCTGTTTAAAAACTCCATGGTTCCCTGAGCCTGGAGGGTATGCTATCACCACCCAAATGCAAAAACCCCTTTGAGAACCCAGAAAGAGCTGACCTTGTAGTTTTAGGCACATGCACACAATCTCCTGCCTTCTAGGACACAGGAATCAAATCATGGTCTTTAAAAGATGAGCTTTATTAACAGAACAAAGACAATATCGTTTGTAAAACATACTTGTTTGCTCTGTGTTACAGAGCAACTGAAAGGCAGATTAAAACAGAATTGCTTCCATGGGATTCTGTTTTAAAGTTGCAGTGTATGATGGTAGGAGGGGGAAGGCTCACTTGAGCTTAACACAGAGAAGTCCAACAAATCCAATCTACAACCTCCCTTGGAAGCCTATTCCAGAACATATCTAGCCTTATAGTTAACAGATTAAACTCACTGCTGACGGTAGGAGAAGCAGAAACAGAACATAGTCTTTCTTATAAATACTTGACTTATCTGATCCTCCTTCAACCTTGTTTTCTCAAGATGAAACATGCCTAGTTTTTTAGTCATTCTTTATAAATCAGGTTTTTCATTTTTGTTGCTCTCTTGTGCACTCTCCAATTTGTTCACAACTTTCTTAAGGTATGGAACTGGATACAGTACTCCAGCTGAGGCCTAATCAGCATTGAGTAAAACAGGACAATTACCTCCCACATCTAACATATTACACTCCTGTTAATATACCTTAACATATTAGCCTTCTTCACAACAATCATATTGTTGGCTCTCATTCAATTTGTGATCCACTATAATTCCCACGTTTGTTAGCAGTACTCCCACCTTAACCAGAGCTGTCCAATCCATTGGATGGCTCAGGGCAATCTCCCCGGGCCATGTGGGGCTCAGGGCAGCCAGGGTGAGTAAGTACGAAGGGGGTTTCACTGCTCTCCCTACCCCTGCACTAAGAGGCAGGGGAAGTGAATCTACTTAGCCTCAAGCCAGTTTGCTACCCCAGTCAGGTTGGTGGGGGAGGAGGTCTGGGCAAAGAAGTAGGATTCCCCCACCCCATACTCAACAGTAATGTGACTGGTAGCCAGTGGAGCAGAATGGGTTAGGTCACTCTGCTTCCCTCCATGGGTGAATGCAGGGGCAGACCCAACCCCTGCTGCTAGGCCACCCACTAATCCCCTGGGGTCACATGGCTTGGAGGAAGGGGTGGAGCGAGGGTAAAAAGAGGTGGGAAGGAAGTGGGCCTGGGATGAATGGGGGTGGGTCCCAGCTCCCACTCCTCCAGAGGCAGCTCTAACCTTAACAATTAGGCCCATTTGATTGTTTTTCCCTAAAGAAAATACAGTATACTCCCAATGATCTGAATGCCATGGGGGTCTTGGATGTTTTTAGTTACTCAGGAGTATGGCTAATCATCAGGACAGGAACTACTCAATAGTGGGGCAGTGTCCTCCACAGCCCAGCACTCATTCTCCTCCTCGCAGTCCTGGCTGGGGTCTCAGTTCTGCCCTGTTCGCTCACTCTCAGCATTCTGAAGCGGAAGAGAGCTCTCCAAGGACACCCAATCCTAAAAGCCAGGCATGGGCTGTAGTCTGCAGTCCTGTAGGATTGTGGTAGAGACATACCCTGCTGCCTTCCCTGTACCTCCTGCCTGTCTCAGCCCTGCCCTGCTCATTCCTACTCCACATAGCTGGGCTACAAAAGCACTCTGTGCATTAATCCAAGAGGCAATCAGCAGCAGTGTGGTCTGCCCCAGAGGTCTGACACCCCCGCCCACAGTCCTGGCCATGAGAGAACATGTCCCATGGTGGGAGCCAAGGAAGGGATGCCGCCGGTTACTTGGAAGCTGTAATCATGTAGCCTGATGCTCTGGGCTGCACTGAATTCCAGCTTCCTGACTGCAGAGCAATTCTCCAACCTGGCCCTGGATGAATTTTACCTCTGCCCTCCCAGGTTCCCTGGCTGTGTGGGTCAGCTACAAAGCAACCCCAGCTCATAGAATCATGGAACCATAGAGCTGGAAGAGACCTCAGGAGGTCATCAAGTCCAGCCCCCTGCTCTAGGCAGGACCAATCCCAACTAAATCAACCCGGCCAGGGCTTTGTCAAGCCGGGACTTAAACACCTCTAGGGATGGAGACTCCACTACTTCCCTAGGTAACCCATTCCAGTGCTTCACCACCCTCCTAGTGAAATCGTTTTTCCTAATATCCAAGCTGCAGACCCCAGGCTTCTCTGAAAACCTTGACCAGGAGCAGCAGCAGCCCCCCCCCCTTTACAATTTTTTTCATCTACGTGTGGAATAAATTTTGTTAATGGCACCGAGGCACGTGCAGCTGTGCACTGCCAGGAGAAACACATGTGCCTGCCTATTGGACCCCCAGCTAAAATCAGCAGGGTGGCACCTGAAACTCTCCTGGGCAGCGGCCCAAGCGCTCAGCTTACCTGGGAGGGGGGCTAGGCCAGTGGGTCCCCCAGCCTGACTGGAGCTCTGG